TTCCAGTTGACAATAAATCTCTTCAAATTTACTTGACCTAATCCGAATACTTTTATACTTGCTTGTCCATCTTGTCTCACACAGAAGAGGAATATTTGGTCTTGTCCATTTTGTCTCACACAGAAGAGGAATATTTGGTCTTGTCCATCTTGTCTCACACAGAAGAGGAATATTTGGTCTTGTCCATTTTGTCTCACACAGAAGAGGAATATTTGGTTTTGTCCATCTTGTCTCACACAGAAGAGGAATATTTGGTCTTGTCCATCTTGTCTCACACAGAAGAGGAATATTTGGTCTTGTCCATTTTGTCTCACACAGAAGAGGAATATTTGGTCTTGTCCATCTTGTCTGACACAGAAGAGGAATATTTGGTCTTGTCCATCTTGTCTCACACAGAAGAGGAATATTTGGTCTTGTCCATCTTGTCTCACACAGAAGAGGAATATTTGGTCTTGTCCATCTTGTCTGACACAGAAGAGGAATATTTGGTCTTGTCCATCTTGTCTGACACAGAAGAGGAATATTTGGTCTTGTCCATTTTGTCTGACACAGAAGAGGAATATTTGGTCTTGTCCATCTTGTCTGACACAGAAGAGGAATATTTGGTCTTGTCCATTTTGTCTCACACAGAAGAGGAATATTTGGTCTTGTCCATCTTGTCTGACACAGAAGAGGAATATTTGGTCTTTTCCATCTTGTCTCACACAGAAGAGGAATATTTGGTCTTGTCCATCTTGTCTCACACAGAAGAGGAATATTTGGTCTTGTCCATCTTGTCTGACACAGAAGAGGAATATTTGGTCTTGTCAATCTTGTCTGACACAGACGAGGAATATTTGGTCTTGTCCATCTTGTCTGACACAGAAGAGGAATATTTGGTCTTGTCCATCTTGTCTGACACAGAAGAGGAATATTTGGTCTTGTCCATCTTGTCTCACACAGAAGAGGAATATTTGGTCTTGTCCATCTTGTCTGACACAGAAGAGGAATATTTGGTCTTGTCCATCTTGTCTCACACAGAAGAGGAATATTTGGTCTTGTCCATCTTGTCTCACACAGAAGAGGAATATTTGGTCTTGTCCATCTTGTCTGACACAGAAGAGGAATATTTGGTCTTGTCCATCTTGTCTGACACAGAAGAGGAATATTTGGTCTTGTCCATCTTGTCTGACACAGAAGAGGAATATTTGGTCTTGTCCATCTTGTCTCACACAGAAGAGGAATATTTGGTCTTGTCCATCTTGTCTCACACAGAAGAGGAATATTTGGTCTTGTCCATCTTGTCTGACACAGAAGAGGAATATTTGGTCTTGTCCATCTTGTCTCACACAGAAGAGGAATATTTGGTCTTGTCCATCTTGTCTCACACAGAAGAGGAATATTTGGGACAGAGGACCTCCTTGTTGGGCTTTCACGAAAAAATGTAATAATTGCTTTGATAGTACCAATAGTATTTCCTATCACTGCAACATTATTAAGATCATTTACTACGAGATTCAGTCTATGCGAGGCACAGTGAACAAAGGCAGCCTTGGGGTAAATACTTCGAAATTTTGCCTGAACACCATTTTCTTTCCCGGCCATTGTCGAGCACCCATCATAACCTTGACCCAGCAGATTATTAAGGTGAAGACCAAATGTTTTGCAATTTTGAATAATACAATCAGATATCGTGGCGGCGTCCATATCTTTCAGTGGAGAAAATCCAAGGAATTCCTCACGAATCATAGCCTTCTCACTAGACGTGTCTACAAACCGGACTCCCAGTGACAACTGTTCTGTTCCTGAGATATCTGCTGTTTCATCGGCTATGATCGAGAATCCAACAGCATTGTTGGCAGCTTTTACAATGTCTTCTTGCAGAGCTTGTTCAGACAAGTTGATCAAATCATTCTGCGTTCGGTGTGATGTGTAACGTGCATTTTCAGCAGCTGTATCAAAATGATTTCTTAAAATACTGTCTCCTCCCTCAATTCGATACATATAAAGTTGTTCGACATTTCCTTTGGCGCTATCTTTCCCACGAATTGCCAAATCATTTGTTCCGCAAAATAATATTGTTGAAATAATAGGATACAGTTTCTTTCTGTTCTCTTCAATAGTTCGTTTTACTGAATTATCTATCTGACAAATAATATCCTTATTTGGATCTCTAATGGTTGACGCGAAGTGTTCAGCATCTTGTTGAGACCCACGATGCCATGCTGAGCTGATATGGTTTCTGGCACATTCATTAAAATCTTTGTACTTTGTACAAGGAGTAGTAATGAAGGCACCTTGAAATCCTCTTTGAACTGGTTGCGGAAATAAAACACAGAAAATGCAAAAAGCACCTTTTAACCTAGGTGAATATGATAACCATGGAGTATACTGAGTCAGCCAAGATTCCCTGAAACAACGTTTTCCACTTCCAGACATGTCGCCTTCAAAATCATATGACGGGTGAGGCTTGTATGGATCAGTTAGCAAATGATACATAAGATCGATAGGAATCTTCGTAGTAGATTTTACATAGAGTCCAATGTCATAGGTTAACCTAGTATCTCCACTTTCAAGCTTGTCAGGGTCTGGTTTTGGTGATAGCGTTGCTGCTGCAGATGAACAAGCAACAGCATCACTTTTCCGTTTTTTGCAGACAGGAGTTAACGTTATTTATTCAACATCTGGAGTCGATTGCTGTGACTGTCTGAGTGGTTTTAAAAATTTCCGGATATCCATGACTCCTAAAACTAAAACTAGATCTAGATTAAAAATAAAACTAGATTAAAACTTAAACTAAAACTAAAACCCAACCAGTCTCCATAGACCTGGTAGAAAAGAAAATAAATACTAGTTAAGAAACAAAACACTTTAAAATAATATAACATAATTAACAAAATAAATTATGTTAATTTACAAATTAAAAAAATAAATTATGTTAATTTACAATATAACAAGCTTAGTAATTATAACTAAAGGAAAATAATCACAATAATTAGATTATTAAAGGCTTACAAAATAACTTTAACCACTCTTGCCACTGTATGTGCAAACAACCTCATTAATTATTCAAACATAGGAATGTACAATAAAACAAATGATTTCAGAGCACTTCCCCAAAGGTATCCTTAAGATTACTTTAGAAAGTCTCAATCAATCATTGTACAATCCTTTGTTATTGAATTTTCATCTTAATTTACTTAAAGTAAATAAGCACACTTAGATCTAACAACAGTAGTCTAGGTATTTAAAATTATTACAACTCATTTCACATGTAGCTCATACAAACTAAATTTATAACGAAATTAAAATAGATAATTTAGATATTTCTAATACTTTCTTTACCGCTAACACAAAGTGATTTAAAATAAAAGTTAAACTATTTGACTTTTTTCCAATTTAAACATCAACATTTTGACAAGTTTACACTGTACCTGGATAGCGGTATACTACTCTTAAACAATGAACTAACGTCCTTTAACATATTCGCCTTAAAAAATATACATAATAAAAATACTTATGTTCAAAACAACTTTTGGCTCACAACATACAGTGATACATAAAATAATTAATATTTTTTTTTTTTTTTTTTGTAAAAAAAAATTTTAAACCCACAGGGGGGGGGGGGGGGGGCCCCCCCCCCCCCCCCCCTTGCAGGCGCCCATGGCTGTAAGTACGAAATTTATGATCGAATATGTGAGCCTCTAACAAGATTACCTATAAATATACGGATCATCAAATATATCGAGCATAGCGAAATTTCCCTGGTTCCACGAACTATAATGGGTTAAAGCAGTGGTTCTCAACCTTCCTAATGCCGAGACCCTTGAATACAGTTCCTCATGTTGAGGCGACCCCCAGCCATAAAATTATTTTTGTTGCAACTTCATAATTGTAGAGTGTCTGTGTTTTCCGATGTTCTTAGGCGACCCATGTGAAAGGGTCATTCGATCCCCAAAGGGGTCGCGACCCCACAGGTTGAGAGCCGCTGGGTTTAGGGCACCAGTTACCGTTCTGTTTAAAACTGTTACGAGTCAGCATTTTAAAATAAAAACATCTTTTCGTTTTGTTGTCCGCCATATTTTCCTTGGGGAGTTGGGGGTGGGGGGGGGTGGGGGCACTTGAGTTGTCTCCCTCGTCTTATCTACTCTTCTGACCTGGCACACAGTTATTTACGGCGCTGATCTAAATCAAACAACTGTGCAATGAATGTAGATTAAAGTTGACGTCTTTGTATTTAAAAACAAAAACAAAAAAAACTTATTCAGGTTTGTTTCTTTCTTTTTTCTGGACCGAAAATAACAAACAAACCAAAAATTAAAAAAAAAAGCATTCTCTCCACGCACAATAATCGCTTGGAACCACCTGGACAATGGACGCTGTGGACTCGACATCGGTCGAAAGCTTCAAGGTTGCCCTGGCATCAGCCAGGAGATGTTAGAATAGCAACATAATCCCCCACAACCGTTGCACAGATGCCAGTATATGGATGCAGCAACGAACACTAGCAGAACCAGAGAACCAGAACCAGGTGCATGATTCCATCACAAAGTGGCACTGGAAATCTGTGAAATTTCCTCATCAACATCAGCCACAGAAACATTGGAAATCCCATCTACATGCATAGGAGCCAAAATGATCAATAAATTGATCGTGGGCCCTTAAGATAAAGAAGAAGAAGAAGAAGCAGACCCCCCCCCACAAATCAACAAACACACTCGAAGGTCCCAATTACCATCAGGATGTGTCTTGTATTGGTCGGTTTGCTTAGGGAGGCGTTTAGCCGAAGCGTCCTTGTATTTAAAACGACCATACTACATCTTGTTCATAATCTTCCCAATCTATTGGTTTCTATTTGAGCGTTTGATCTGTAAAACGTTAATATGCGCTTTCGGGTTACGCTGGGTTAATTATTTATGAATATTCTGTGTGGAAATTTCCAAAGAAAACGGGGAGCAGCACAATGTAGCACTTTGAACGAGAATGCAAATTTTCTTATGACGTACTGACTCCTCTTGTTTCTTGGCCCCAATGAGACACGGCCGTGAATTCTTTCTCTCCATCCAAACACTGTCACAATGTCCACACGGTTCGCCCAGTATCTGCATCCAGAGAAGGAGCAAGAGCTGGCCGACATCGCCAGGCGGTTGACAGCCCCGGGGAAGGGCATCTTGGCAGCAGACGAGTCGGTGAGCACGTGCGGGAAACGCCTGCAGGAGATAAATGTCGAAAACACAGGTGATATATTGTTGGTGTATTTCAACACAACTATGAAAAACAAAATGTTTATATTCTTTTTGTGTATAAATATTTATTTTTCAATTGTGGGAGTAAACTGCTATTCGGAATTCTTTTCCCCGGGGGTGAGGGTGTGTGGTAGGGGGTTGGTGTATTGGACTCAATACTTAATAGGGGTGGGGGTATTGGGGGGGGGTAATAGGTGATGGGTGTGTTGGATACTTTAATTTGATTTCATTTTCACCTGACAATGTGCGGGCTACTTTGGGATACTAGTGATTTATGCTTGTCCCACTGTGTGTGCCGCCATGTTTACGGGGTTGGCACTCGGGGGTGCCGCCGTGTTTACGGGGTTAGCACTTGGGGGTGCCGCCATGTTTTCGGGGTTGGCACTCGGGGGTGCCACCATGTTTACGGGGTTGGCACTCGGGGGTGCCACCATGTTTACGGGGTTGACACTCGGTGTGCCACCATGTTTACGGGGTTGGCACTCGGGGTGCCACCATGTTTACGAGGTTGGCACTCGGGGTGCCACCATGTTTACGGGGTTGACACTCGGTTTGCCACCATGTTTACGGGGTTGGCACTCTTTTTTGCTGCCATGTTTACACGGTTGGCACTCTTTTTTGCTGCCATGTTTTAACGGTTGGCACTCCGTTTGCTGCCATGTTTACACGGTTGGCACTCGGTTTGCTGCCATGTTTAGAGGATTTTCAACTTTGCTGCCATTATCAGGGAATTTGTACAAACTTTTCAACTAACTAAATGGGAGATATAAAAAACAACAGCAACATTTCCCTCAGAAGAAGTTTCCAATAATTTAACGTGAGATTTTGGTTGCCTCCATTCAGAGGAGAACAGGAGAAAGTACCGGGAGTTGCTGTTCACAGCAGACGACACCTTGGGGGAGAGCATTTCCGGGGTGATCCTGTTTGATGAGACGGCGCGTCAGTGCGACTCGAACGGGACGCCATTCATTAAGATACTGGAGAACAAGGGCATCATCCCAGGCATCAAGGTGGAGAGTTGTCTTTGTGTCGGTGACGTGATAGCTGTAGCGATGCCATTGTTATAGTAGTGTCATTGTTATAGCGAGGCCATTGTTATAATGTCATTTTTATTGTAATGTCATTGTTATAAGGGTGTCATTGTTATAGTGACGTCATTGTTATAGTCTTTAACTGCCTTATTGTTGTTACCCTAAAAGTTGTTTTGAAAACGGTTATGGTATTGTTTTTTTGTGGTGTTAAAAAACATCCCACGCTGTTTTTGTCAATCTGTTTTCAGTGTTCAAATAATGTTGTTATTAGAGAAATGTGTTTGAATAAAATCAATGTATGGTCGATTAAACTTGACGGGATCCTCAAAGATAAGAGGGAATAACTCTGTACTATGTATTGATACGAACCAAAATTTCGGACATTTCAGTCTATCAATATAAGCTACCGCCGTGAGCCGATTCGAGCGGCATTGCCAGGGACCTCCTCATCTTAAACAGGGTTTATGGTCACATAAGGCTGACTTTGAGAACCGTCAATCAAGATTTGTAAGCCTTGTGGCCACGAACATTTCTTTATGTCTCAGGTAGACAAGGGTGTAGTCCCCCTGGCCGGCACCAACAACGAGTGCACGACAACAGGCCTGGACGGTCTGAAGGAGCGGTGTGACGAGTACAAGTCCATGGGGATACACTTTGCCAAGTGGAGATGTGTCTTGAAGATAACAAAGTTCACGCCCTCCTATCAAGTAGGTCTCCGACACGTCTAATCAAGTAGGTCTCCGACACTTCTAATCAAGTAGGTCTCCGACACTTCTAATCAAGTAGGTCTCCGACACTTCTAATTAAGTAGGTTTCCGACACTTCTAATCAAGTAGGTCTCTGACACCTCGCATCAAGTAGGTCACTACGCCCTCCTGTCAATACTTATTGCCATCAAGTAGGTCGCAATGGCCTTCTATCAATTAGGTCCCTGCACCCTTCTGTTACGTGGGACACCTCACATGGTGTTGGTGACCATCCACTTCTATCAAGTAGGGGGTTCACCAATAGAATACATTCAAGGGATGTAACAAAAACTAGCATTTAGGATTTTCCCCATAGAATATCTACAGAGATGATAACTAAACAATATATAAGGTTTACCCACAGAATATCTTGAGGTGATGATAAAATATACTAATATCTAAGTTTTACATATAGAATATCTATAAGCGATGATAAAAGATGCTAATACTTATATATTCTAAGGTTTACCCATAGAATATCTAAGGTTTACCCAAAGAATATCTAAGGTTTGCCCATAGAATATCTAAGGTTTACCCATATGATATCTAAGGTTTACCAATAGAATATCTAAGGTTTACCCATATAATATTTAAGGTTTACCCATAGAATATATAAGGTGTACCCAAAGAAAATCTAACGTTTACCCATAGAATATCTAAGGTTTGCCCATAGAATATCTAAGGTTTGCCCATAGAATATCTAAGGTTTGCCCATAGAATATCTAAGGTTTGCCCATAGAATATCTAAGGTTTGCCCATAGAATATCTAAGGTTTGCCCATAGAATATCTAAGGTTTGCCCATAGAATATCTAAGGTTTACCCATAGAATATCTAAGGTTTACCCATAGAATATCTAAGGTTTATCCATTCACTGTCTACAGGCTATGATTGAAAACGCTAATGTTCTAGCCAGGTACGCAAGCATATGCCAGCAGGCAGGTCTCGTGCCAATCGTTGAACCGGAAATCTTACCAGATGGCGACCATGACCTTTTTACAGCCAGAAGAGTAAGAAAATATGCAAATTTATTTAAATTTAAGTGTCGAAATGCTACAAATCTCCCAAAATTTTAAATGTTTGTTTAAAAGTTACAGTAGACCGTCGTATTTTGTAGTAAGGGAGTCAGAAACCTTCAGAACAGAAAGTCTAGAGATTCAATCCCCAGAAAGTATTCCCTTCTGGAAATGTAAACACACCTTCCCCAATCAAGGGTGGCGGCAGAAAGGAGTGACAGCACATATTGTCACGAAATTAATTGATGACGTAAAAAACAAACCAAAAAAAAAAATAAGGGGGATGGGAGATAAAGTTAGCATGCCATGGCTCGAACTAGGTCAACACACAGGCTACAACAAATTATTGGTTCTGTATGAAATAGTTTGATGTTGGCCCAGATCATAAAGCTAAAGCACATAGAAGATAACTCTCCAAAATCATTATGGAGGAAGCAACACAGAAAGATAGAATCTAATCTCACTTAACCTGCCATCAATCGATAGATTTAACCTGTCACGACGTGATAGATTTAACATATTTGTGTGTAATGGATCTAGCGTGTCACGATGAGATAGATTATAATGTCAGTAAGCGATATGTTTAACCAGTCTCTGTGATACATTTGACCTGTTTATAAGAAATATATTTAACCCATTTGGTATGTGATAGTTAAAACCTGTCTCTATGTGATAGATTAAACTGTATGTATGTAATGGATTTAAAATGTCACTGTATGAGACATTCAGTCTGACACTAAGTCAGAGATTCAGCCTGTCACTGTGTGAGAGATTCACCCTGTCTCTCACAAAGTGACAGATTCAGCCTGTCACTTGGTGAGAGATTCAGCCTGTCACTGTGTGAGAGATTCAGACTGTCACGTTGTGATAGATGAAAGAGGTCAAATCCTACAGGTGACAGAAGAGGTTTTAGCCTTTCAGTACAAGGCACTGGCTGACCATCACCTGTTCCTGGAAGGGACACTTCTTAAACCAAACATGGTCACTCCTGGTCAGTCGTTCACAGGTAGATGCAGGTAAGTGGCCAGTTTGAAAGGATTTTAAGGGCTTTCTTTGATGAAGGGTACGGTCTGGGAAATCACATGTTCTCAAACTTCTAGCAACAAAAAACGGACTTCAAAGCCACAGGGGGTTAATCAAATAAATTCCCCATACCTGAAGCTATTGCCCGTCGTCTTTGCAATCAGTGCCCGTAGTCCTTGCAATCAGTGTCCGTAGTCCTTGCAGTCAGTGCCCGTAGTCCTTGCAATTAGTGCCCATAGTCCTTGCAATCAGTGTCCGTAGTCCTTGCAATCAGTGCCCGTATTCCTTGCAATCAGTGCCCGCATTCCTTGCAATCAGTGCCCGTATTCCTTGCAATCAGTGCCCGTAGTCCTTGCAGTCAGTTACAGTAGTCCTTGCATCAGTACCCGTAGTCCTTTCCATGAGCTTTTGGTGTACTTTAAAGTTGTAGTGCACAGGTTTCAACATTTTTGAGTTACGACCCCATTGTATAGAAGCAAAATGACACATGATCCAATACTTTACATTTTCTTTCTTATATTTATCGTTCATTGATGCCAATCTCATGTCATCCTCATGTCATCCTCATGTCATCCTCATGTCATCCTCATGTCATCCTCATGTCATCCTCATGTTATCCTCATGTAATCCTCATGTCATCCTCATGTCATCCTCATGTCATTTCAACATTAAATTTGTCCCCATACTTGTCAGAGATGCCTAAAGGCAGATGACATGATATTATTCAAACCTGTAAAAATTAATACTTACATTTTAAAAGAGTTTATTTTTCTTAATTTGAGAACCCATGATGTAGTGTATATAGATGGTAGATATTTATAACTGTGACCTGTAGATTTAATCATGACCTTGACCCCCAGCACAGAAGAGGTTGCTGAAGCTACCGTCCAGGCTCTCTATAGAACAGTCCCAGCTGCTGTGGCCGGCATAGTCTTCCTGTCTGGTGGCCAGGGGGAGGAAAGTGCTACAGTCAATCTCAATGCCATCAATCGGGTAATTTATAAGTGCTACAGTCGATCTCAATGCCATCAATCAGTAATTTATAAGTGCTACAGTCAATCTCAATGCCATCAATCGGGTAATTTATAAGTGCTACAGTCGATCTCAATGCCATCAGTCGTGTAATTTGTTAATCTCAATGCCATCAATCGGGTAATTTATTAGTGCTACAGACAATCTCAATGCCATCAATCAGGTAATTTATTAGTGCTACATTCTCAATGCCATCAGTCAGGTAATTTATTAATCTCAATACATCAATCGGGTAATTTATTAGTGCTACATTCTCAATGAAATCAATCGGATAATTTATTAGAGCTACATTCTCAATGTCATCAATCGGATAATTTATTAGTGCTACAATTTCCCCCGGGGCTCTAGTCGGCATGTCCGCCCCATAAATGACATGTCGATAAAAAGGCGTTTGCGACAAACCCCCTGAAACGTTCCCCGGGGTACAGCGTCACCGTGAAGGGGACCCTTGATCAAATGCAAAGGTCACGCACGGAAACCCCGTTAGAAAGAGCGCGGCTGCATGGTTTCCTACCAACTGTAGTTGAAAATAACGCAGTAACAGGTCGATACATGAGTACAGTTGCCAGATGGATATGAGGTGAGGGAACCTGGCGACCTTAGCCGATAATTCTAAATATGCAGTCTTTGAGGGTACTGCTCCTAGGCAACCTCTTTCTCTCCCAGCTGTGGTGTGAGTTAGTCACACTGGTCCTAGGCAACCTCTTTCTCTCCCAGCTGTGGTGTGAGTTAGTCACACTGCTCCTAGGCCGCCTCTTTCTCTCCCAGCTGTGGTGTGAGTTAGTCACACTGCTCCTAGGCAAACCTCTTTCTCTCCCAGCTGTGGTGTGAGTTAGTCACACCCCAGAGCACCACGGGAACCCTATTAGAGGGTGTTTGTTAAACACCTACGCGTCCACCCGGGTGGGAAGGGGGGTGGGACATAGGGACGTAAAACGTCTGCACCCCAGCCCCTAGAAAGTCCGGCACGGTTACCGTGTGAAAGCAGCACCCTGGCCGGCCAGGCGTTCCTTCTCTGGTGCCGCCTCACTCGTATGGTCAATCGAGTGGAAGGGTGGGTCTAGCGAGGGATGCGTTGGGGCAAGACTTCATGACCTTCGGCTCGATAGTCTACTGTTTATCTAAGGTATAGTATATGAGATTAGTGCTACAATCACAACGTCATCAGTTTGGGTAATTTATTTGGGTGTAAGTTAATAAAGACGAGGCGAAGCGTATATCCCATATTCGAGGGTCACGGCCTTCTGAACAAAGAAGTGCTGGAAGTGTAGGGAATGTTCATGAAATACTACTGGTACTTGGTTTGTGACAGTTGGAAACTGCTGCATCATCTCGTCCCGTCTAAGGTAGTGTGACATCGTCCGTACCGATGTCAAACTATCCATCATACACAGCACAAGCTAACCGAATGCCAGATCTAAGCTATGCGGATACTGTCACAGACATAGCAGTCATCCTGTCCCCCCCCCCCAACTCCCATCTGACTAACCACTCTCTATATCCATACACTAGATTGCCTACTACTGGCCTGCTGGGCCCTAAGTGACCAGAACACGCCGGTCAACCTATGTCAGGGGTCCTTAAACTTTTTAACCGAATGCCAGATCTAAGCTATGCGGATACTGTCACAGACATAGCAGTCATCCTGTCCCCCCCCCCCCAACTCCCATCTGACTAACCACTCTCTATATACATACACTAGATTGCCTACTACTGGCCTGCTGGGCTCTAAGTGACCAGAACACGGCGGTCAAGCTATGTCAGGGGTTCTTAAACTTTTGCACCACTCCCAGATGGAATAAAGAAAATTAATCCCACAACCGCTACGATTAAATTTGCTAGCAGAAGTGAAATGAAATGAATTTGATGGTGTTTCCAGCACTTCTTGACACTGCCTCCCGCAACCCCAAATGGAACCCCTGATCTATGGAAAAGGGCTATTGACGAATAACCTATCTTATGTTAAATATTCACTGTGTACTTTCTCCTGTGATGATGTGTACCGTGTGCTTAGTTCTATATTGATCTATTCTCTGTACAACTATGCTGTGTTCTCTTTGCTGTGTACAGGTACCCCTAAGACGCCCATGGCCACTGACCTTCTCCTATGGGCGGGCGCTGCAGGCCAGCGTCCTGGCAGCCTGGGGTGGCAAGGATGACAAGATAAGGGCAGCACAGAACGAGCTGCTGAAGAGAGCCAAGGTGTGTACCACCTGATATGTGTGTACCACCTGAAATGTGTGTACCACCTGATATGTGTGTACCACCTGATATGTGTGTACCACCTGATATGTGTGTACCACCTGATATGTGTGTACCATCTGATATGTGTGTACCACCTGATACGTGTGTACCACCTGATATGTGTGTACCACCTGATATGTGTGTACCACCTGATATGTGTGTACCACCTGATATGTGTGTACCACCTGATATGTGTGTACCACCTGATACGTGTGTACCACCTGATATGTGTGTACCACCTGATATGTGTGTACCACCTGATACGTGTGTACCACCTGATACGTGTGTACCACCTGATATGTGTGTACCACCTGATATGTGTGTACCCAACACGTGTGTACTGTGTACTGTGTACTGTGTACTGTGTACTGTTTACCATTCATGATCAAACCCAAAAAGATCTCAATGACCCGCGTTCAAGTAAATGTCAAATATGATTTGTGACGACTTGTCATCTGGAGCACAGGGATGTGTATAAATGTCAAATATGATTTGTGACGACTTGTCATCTGGAGCACAGGGATGTGTATAAATGTCAAATATGATTTGTGACGACTTGTCATCTGGAGCACAGGGATGTGTATAAATGTCAAATATGATTTGTGACGACTTGTCATCTGGAGCACAGGGATGTGTATAAATGTCAAATATGATTTGTGACGACTTGTCATCTGGAGCACAGGGATGTGTATAAATGTCAAATATGATTTGTGACGACTTGTCATCTGGAGCACAGGGATGTGTATAAATGTCAAACATGACAGTGAAATGTGTATAAATGTCACGTCTGACAATAAGATGTGTATACATGTCACATATGACAGTAAGATGTGTATACATGTCACATATGACAGTAAGATGTGTATAAATGTCACATGTGACAGAAAGATCTGTATCAATGTCACATGTGACAGAAAGATCTGTATCAATGTCACATATTAAGAAAGAAAGATCTGTATAAATGTCACATATGACAGAGGTTTATACATGTCATTAACGACAATGAGATGTGTATAAATGTCACATATGACAGTGACATGTGTATTAATGTCACATACATACAGGCACGCATTGACTACAAGTTGTCTGTTCTCTGTCACAACTTTTTCTCGGATTCCTGCCCTTCCTATCTAATCGAACTTCTTTCTGTCTATTCACCCCTTCGACAGCTTCGCTCCTCCGCAGACACGCGTATTCTGCCCATTCCCAAGACACACACTAAAACATATGGTGAACGATCTTTCTCTTTCTGCGCCCCCAAACAATGCAATTTTTTGCCACTCCACATCCGCAAAATATCAACCACTCAGGCTTTCAAAACTGCACTCAAAACATATCTTTTTAAATTATACTACCCTGACTGATTCCCCTCCTCTTACCGATAAATGATCGTGCTGGCTGCCATCCATGGTTTGCCTTGTAAAAGTCCTGGGGCTCATGCTGTTCTTTATTTCATAATTGTATTATATTTATTGTCATGATTATATTCTCTTTTGATAATATTTTTATGTACAGCGCAGTGAGCCCAGCCCTAGGCTGTGGTATCAAGCTATAAAAGACCACTAATTATTATTATTATTATTATAAATGTCACATATGATAGCGAGATGTGTATAAATGTCACATATGACAGCGAGATGTGTATGAATGTCACATATGACAGTGGGATGCGTATACTTGTCATCTAGGTCAATCAATTATTTATTTAAATTATTATTGTTAAATGATAGTCTGTCTATACATGCATGCATCAAATATCTATTTATTGAATGCTTCCATCTATTCAATAACAAATCGACGCCCCCACCCATCCACCCATCCATCCATCCACTCATCCACCCATCCACTCATCCACACATCCATCCATCCACTCACTCACTCATCGGCCCATCCACCCATCCACTCATCCACACATCCATCCATCCACTCACTCACTCATCGGCCCATCCACTCATCCATCCATACACACATCCACTCATCCACCCATCACTCACTCACCCATCCACTCATCTACACGCCCACCCATCCACTCATCCATCCATGCACTCATCAACCCATCCATCCACCCACCCATCCACTCATCTATCCACCCACTCATCCCCCTATCCACCCATCCACTCATCCACCCATGCAACCATCAACCCATCCACCCACTCAACCACCCATCCATCCACCCATCCATCCATCCACCCATCCACTCACCCACCCATCCATTCATTCACACATTGACCTCTAAAATCATTGTACCTTCGGACACCACATAACCACGCCCAATTGGTGTCTCTCCCACAGGCCAATGGGCTGGCCTCTATTGGTGAATACAAGGGAGGAATGGAAGGCGTGGCTGGAGAGAAGTCTCTCTTTGTCAAAGACCACGCCTACTAACGGTCGCAGTCAAATACCTTTTAATCAAGTCAACTAAAGGTCGCAGTTAAATACCTTTCAATCAAGTCTAATAAATGTCATGGTCAACACATTTCAAAGTCACCCGTTAGCTTTAAAAAAAAAAAAAAAAAAATAGCTTTGACAAGTAACTAACTAACTTGAACTTGAAGACTCTGTCAGACTATTTAGTTATGGTCGCAGTCAAATACCTTTTAATCAAGTCAACTAAAGGTCGCAGTTAAATACCTTTAAATCAAGTCTAATAAATGTCAATGTCAACACATTTCAAAGTCCCCCGTTAGCTTTAAAAAAAAAAAAAAAAAAAAAATAGCTTTGACAAGTAACTAACTAACTTGAACTTGAAGACTCTGTCAGACTATTTAGTGGCAACTTTGTACATTGTTCACAAGTCATCCCACAATTATGACGGCCTATTACCATTGCTTCTGTAGCCTTGCCCTTGCCTTGTCAGTGACAAGTTTGTCTAGCTATTAACGTTAACAAAGATGATACAGTCAAACACATTCTACCAAGTTTCACTTTTTAAGACTGTCTTTAAATGAAAGACCCCCCCCCCCAACCACCACCACAGAACTCCGAGAAAACAGATAAACTTTGTAGATCAAAGATAAGGACATGTGACAAAGTTTACATAACGAACGACGTCACGTTTGACCTTGACCTTATTTAAACTTGAACTTATTCTTTATAAAAAGTATAATTGAATAATTAAGCCAATCCAGCGTTTTTCTAATACGATCTTTTGATCTTTTGTAAGCTTATTTACTACGGTACTATATCCATGTACTATATCCATGTACTAAGGCCATATACTACATCCATGTACTACATCCATGTACCATATCCATGGATTTCATCCATGTGCTACATCCATATGTTACATCCATGTACTATATCCATGAACTATATCCATGTACTATATCTATGTACTACATGCATGTACTACAGCCCATTACTACAGCCGCATTCTACTGTCATGTACTATATCCATTTATTACATCCATGTACGTATCCATGTATTACTTCCATGTACTATATCCATGTATTATATCCATGTACTATATCCATGTATTGCATCCATTTACTATACCCATGTAATACATCCAAGTAATACAACCATGTATTACAACCAATTACTACAGCCATGTGAAAAAGCCATTTGCTACAACCATGAATAACAGCGATATACTTCAGCCATGTACTGCTGCCATTTGCAATAGCCATATACTACATCCATATACTACAGCTATGTACCACGGCCATGTACTACAGCCATGAACTAAAGCCATGAACTACAGCCATGTACCACATCCATGTGGAAAAATCTTGCACTACAGAGATATTACATTCTATATATAATACATAAATCTATTTAAGGATATTTCTATGTAAAATCATCATTGTTGCTACAATCTAGAACCTTTAATAATAAACTATTTGGAAAATGCCAAGAATTTCTCAAGTCGTAACCTTAATATTTTGAGAAGCTTTGAAAATTTGGATATTTTCTCTACTTTTTAAATTAATGAAATTGATTGACCTAATTTAGTTTTTGTTCTACTATTCCGGTCCATCTAATTTCTCGTGTTACAAAGTTGTCAGATTAGATAGTGAATCTGACTAAGTCTACCTGGCAACTCAAACTTCTGACGCGTGTAAGTAATAAGTAAGCTAATCATTACTTTCCAATATTGTAAGGGATGAATTTGTTTCGTACTTTCCCACATTTCTCGTCATAACTTCACACAATGTAAATCTCTCAATCAGAGGCTTCTTGAACCCAATAAATGGCCATCATTGATATTGTTACCATTATTTCATGGGAACTCAGAGACTCAGACATTGAAATAATTAGCTCTGTTGACTGTATAATATTAAGTGATGTTCACTACTGTGGCGTGTATAACGTTAAATGGTATCGTCTACTGCCGACACAATGACTACGACATAAGACATATGACTACGACATAAGGCATTTGATTCTGACATAAGACATTGGACTATGACTTAAGACATTTGACTATGACTTAAGACATTTGACTAAGACATAAGGCATTTGATTCTGACATAAGACATTTCACTATGACTTAAGACATTTGACTACGACATAAGGCATTTGATTCTGACATAAGACATTTGACTACGACATAAGGCATTTGATTCTGACATAAGACATTTGAATACGACATAAGAAATTTGACTACGACATAAGACAGTTGACTACGAAAGAAGACATTTGACTATGACTTCAAGTTCAGTAGGTTTCTCGGACTCTAGATCAGTGGTTCTTAACCGGTGTTCCGCGGAGTATGTCAGCGAAGCTTTAATCGGAGCTGTCAAATGTTCAAGTAAGTAGTAAAATAAACATCTTCTTTTAAATATATGAAGATATTTGATGGATAATTAAATGTTGAAATTCTAAAAATAAACCCCAAAAAATCAAACAAATATTTATATAATATATAAGTAAAAGAAAAAGTTTAAAATTTTAATTATTTACGGGTGAAGACCTAGGCCTACCTACCTATTGGGATGGATTTCGGTCGTTAAGTTCGGATCATAATGTTAAAAAAGTATTATTAATTCCCAATTCATTTTTGGTTTTTACAGTAATACCCCATAATGGACAAATTTCTTATCAAACGAAAAGCGAATGATTCGGAAGAACAAAATACTAAAAATGGACCGAGTACAAGTGGAAGCGGTAGTGGTAGTAGTAATGCTCTTGCTGCACATATTGTGTCTGATACAAACGGTAGAATTAAAAGAAGAAAGATTAATCGACAGTATTCTGAAGAATATTTAAGTTTTGGATTTACATACATTTGTGAGGAAGAATATCACATTCCACAATGTATTGTATGTGGCGAAAAATTATCCAACAGCGCGATGGTTCCTACCAAGTTGAAACGTCACTTTTCTACAAATCACGCCAACCTTGCTACAAAAACTAAAGATTATTTCAAACGATTGTTAGATACGCAAGCTAAACAAGTAAAATATTTTGAAAAAACTGAAAATTTCCGATAAGGCACAATTGGCGTCATATAAGGTTGCTGAAATGATTGCTGTTAAAACCACATACTATAGCAGAGTCTTTCATTATACCTGGATGTTGTGAAATGGTTAAAATTATGTTTGATGATGAAGCAACAAAGGAAATAATGAAAATTCCTCGTTCAAATGATACAATAAAAAATAGAATTAAAAATATGTCCGATGATATCGAGAAACAGTTGCCGATGAGCTTTCCAAACGGCTTTTTGCTCTGCAAATTGACGAGTCCACTGACATAAGTGGAAAAGCTCATATACTAGGGTTCGTTCGTTTCATTCATGAAAACGAAATAGTGAATCAATTTCTATGCTGTCTTGAGCTTACCGAACGTTCGACAGGACAAGATGTCTTTGATTCTATTTCTTCCTATTTCGAACAATTCAAAATATCATGGGAGTTGTGTGTGGGAATTTGTACGGACGGTGCTCCATCAATGGTAGGCTCATTAAAAGGGTTTGTGACTCTCGCCGAGAAAAGAAACGCCAATATTATATCTACTCACTGTTTTTTGCACAGAGAATCTCTGGTGTCCAAAACATTACCAGTAGCATTAAAACCTGTGCTAGACAAAGTTGTCAATATGGTAAACTTCATAAAATCGAGACCTTTGAAAATACGCGTCTTTAAAAATCTTTGCATCTCTATGGAAGCCAAGTACGAATCTTTGCTTTTGCATTCTGAAGTGAGATGGTTATCCAGAGGAAAAGTGTTACGTCGTTTCTTAGAACTGAAGGATGAATTGATGACCTTTTTCCAAAATGAAAATATGGATGATTTTGTGGAATATCTTCAAAATGACATTTGGTGTGCTAAATTGGCATATTTAGCTGATATTTTTTATTATTTAAATTGTGTTAATACCAGCCTTCAAGGAGGAAAAGAAAATTTGTTAACATCGACTGACAGTTATTTTTTTTGAAAAATCGTTTATTGGAGAAAAAGAAAGTAGATATCTTTCCTTCTCTTAATGATAACACTACCGACGAAATTATTTCAGCAGTAACAGAGCATTTAACTTTATTAGAAGAAAAGATTGAATTTTATTTTCCATCAATAAACGTAGAAACATATGACTAGAAACGTAATCCTTTTGCCACGGTTGATACATCAAATAGTAAGTTGTCATACCAAGAAGAAGAAGAATTAATCAACCTATCATTGGATCGTACACTTAAAATAAATTTTTCCGAAATGGTTCTGGAGGAATTTTGGATTTTTGTGCAAGAAGAATACTCAGCTCTCTCCAGGAAGGCACTTAAAATCTTGTTGCCATTTTCAACATCATATTTGTGTGAACTCGATTTCTCGATAGTCACCAACATAAAAACTAAAAAGCGAGCAACACTTACTAATTTGGATGAAGAATTGAGGGTAGCTATTTCTAAAATTAGGCCTAATATCACTGAAATTTGTAAAAACTGTCAAGCTCAGGTTTCACATTAAATCTTTTTATTTTTCTGAATTAAATTTTGAACAATGTTATTTTTTTTACTTATAAAATTAAGTTTATTAAAAATTTGTTTGTTATAATTTTAAACTCTTATGTTATAATGTTTTATTTTCAATAAAAGTCGTACGTATGTGTATTTGTTTGTTTTTTTACTCCTTGATTTTTGTGCTCCCCAAATTTTTGTCATGATCAAAAGTGCTCCCCGACTTCAAAAGGTTAAGAACCACTGGATTAGACTATACTAAGACTATGCTTTACTTATGAAAATATAATAAATGAATGAAATGCATTAAAAACTATTCATTTGAAAATATCCTTTTCAAAACCATTTCTCAATTTCTAGGAATACTCCTCGTTGTGGGGTGCCACAAAAAGGCACATTTTAATATTATCAAGAAGTCATGGCATTAAAATTAAAAAGGCTGAGAACCGCTCCTGTAGGTCACTGACCTAAATTTTTATATTGCTACGTCACTTCCTTAAACGTTACTGGCCGGCTAGGCTTTCTAGCAAACTAAAGTCATTCCTAAAATAACCATTGAATAACAACTAAAACGTACTTCTCCAAGGAATATTGGGAATATACTAATTAATAATCAACTTATAATAAAATATTACTTTGATACAGTTAAAAAATATTCAGCCTTAAGGGGATTATCATGCCAGACTTCAAGATACATGCTACTGCTACTAGGATTGTTTTGTCAGTACGTCGTATATGTTTTAAACAATTTTTTTAAAATAGAAGCGCCTACAATGTTAAAATAATAATAATAACAAAATAAATAATAATCATGTTTCTCATACATTCGCGTATTTTACAATTGAAATGTTTGATTAGCTTAGCATGATCATATAAATGAGAATTACATGTTCTCGGCTTTCTTTTATTGCCACCCCCTCCCCACTCCAGCCACCCGGAGGGGGGGGGGTGTATTTAGGCCCTTAAATAAACTTTAGCTTACTTACCTTCATAAAAATATTAACTTAGTAAAAATTTCTTATGACATTCTCAATCTCAAATATAGTTATGTAAGTATGCTTTGCGTTGTAAAGATGGGAAATGGAACACACAAATAAAAGTTTATAAGATTGTTCAATTTTTAGGGTAAAATATTTTGCACATATATATAAATAAATATAAATATTTTAAAAAATGTCCCTGGCTCTTATGTTAATATATAAATCCTATTGTAGTTGTAAATGTATTTAATATTTGAGTATATTTTTATGGACGCCTACGTTTATTAAAAAAAAATCAAATTCTTATTCCGTTTATAATGTTCATTCACATCAAAGAAATCAGAGGAATTACATTTTCTGAAAATTTCCTTCTATTTTTGTTTTGATAGTTTAACAGTAAATTAATAATTTAGCAATAAAGCAAAATCTCTTTTTCCATTTTACTACTTCCAGTAGCCAGGTACAAGTAGAGCATGTTGATATAGTAAACAAACGATTTTTTCACGGAAACTAATATCGAACTCTTTCTAAGATTATGTAAGTAAAAAATTCCAATTTAATCACGTTTTATTTGAAATATACAAACACTCACTATCGTAAGTGAATATTTCATACTAGATCTTGTCAAAGTCAGGTTAGTGCTTAGGTTAATCCTAGTCAGTACTTAGATTAGACTAACACTAACAGTAACAGGGCTAAGACTGCCTAAGACGACTGACCAAAATAATTTAATAGTCTTAATAATTAAATTAACAAATTAATAACTTTAAATATTTATTTATACTTTATACAGTAGACATATGCTACTACTACACTATTCAAATACTTAATAAATTAGCCTTACTGATCGCCCTTAGGCTTAGACTATTAAAGTTGAAGTACATGTTAAAATTTTTTTTTTTTTTAAATTTCAAGTTTCATAACACGGTCACACAGTAAACATTGACTTT